ATTTAAAGGGTCATGGAGACTCCAGGTAGAAAAATCGAGGGCGATTCCTGGTTTACCCAGTTTAGTCATCTACCAGGGAAACGCATCTATTTCCCCTAAAAGGACACCTATGTTCATGACAGACCCCAACTTGGCAGCGCTTTTTGAAAGGACTGTACCTGGAGTCTCCTTCCGACCCTTAAAAAAATGGGTCAATGACCAACCATTTTGGGTAATGACCAACCATTTTTTCAGGGTCCGTACCAAGCAGATTTTGGACAGAGCAGTTCGGGGGGGGGGGGTGGTAGTTGTTTCTTGATTGTTTTACAGCCTTTTAGCAACACGTCAATCAGCTTTTCACAGGGGGTTTAAGTTTGGCCCAGAAGACTAGCCTCCAACAGGGGCTGTCGCTTAAATCGGGAGATCCCTGACATTTGGCTTTGGTTTCCGTTGTGTTTCCCGTTTCACCAGGAGTCAGACACCATCACCAACCCTCACTCCCTGAGTTGCTGCACTTTCAGCTTGGCCATTGTGGCCTCACAAAGTTTGGACTTGGATCCACTGGATAGGTCAGCCTTTGGGGGGCCATGATGGCGGTTTCGTTCTTGTGGGATGGTGTGGGTAGGGGTCAAACATACACCAGGGACCGGATTCATTACGGGGGTGGAACGAGACAGTTGCCTGTTGCAAGGTTCGTCGGTACAGCTTGCTTGTTTGGGTCATAACCAGGTCCACCCCACTCAGAGGACGTCCAAGTGGGTGAGAACCTAGGTTACCAACAACTTGGCCGAACACCGAAGCACCCAGTTCTCAGGGAATCCACCAATCCCTTCCTAACTGAATCGATTTGTGGCTCGGTCGTGCGCCACACACCCCCATTGAAGGCAAGCAAGTCATCAGCTTACCTCTTAAAAGCACAACCTTTTCAACTTTTTGGGTAACATGGGCTATATGTCTGTAAAAGATTAACTTCCCCGGGCTTGGGAGTTTTAAGGGGTAAGTCAGGGTGAATAGTTAGGTGGGGTCGCAACATTTACTCTTGGGCTCGGTTTTCCTGACAGCGAAGGTCATTTTGAGAGTGTTAGTTTGGACCCAGGAAATGGTTTAGGAGGATCTTGGAAACCGCTACCAAACTGTTGTTGCAAAGCTCTACCGGAACCCTGTTTTTTCCTAAAAATGAGTTTTCGCCCCAATTAAGTCAGGATCAAAAGTCCTACGTGGACCTTAAAAATAGCTTTAAAAATGGGATATTGCCCCAACATTCAGGGGTGTATTCCCCTTTTTGTATGGACCGCTTGAGGTTTCGGGTACAATAAAATTGCCTGGACCTGACAAACAACAAAGGGTCAGCGCACGTTTTTCGTGGCATTCAAGAGAGCGGCCTTCGGCGGGGAGTTAGCTGCAATCGTCCAAAACCCGTCACAGTGGGTCCTCAGACCCTAAGAAAAGCGGGTATTGGGTGTAGGGGGGATTGTTTATGCCCGTAAATGTAGGTGATTTCGAAACCGAAGGGAGGTTCTGTCATGTGCTTTCACATAAGCGTACTCTTTTATTTGTTGCATGTGTGTGTGTGTGCCTCGACCAAGCGGTTTCTTAGGGTCAGAGAATTCTATTGGCCAATTCAATGTGTTTGTCTCATGCTGCTTGACTTCGTACTTTGTGGGAGGTCATTTTGGTGGTAAACTGTAGCCAAAGGCTACATGTATAGGTCCACATATACATATCATATAAATTGATAAGAATGTATATATCATAGATATACATATATGAACCCTTGGTATGGATCTCTAGCATTAATTACCAATTAATTCTGGTACATCAGAGTCGTAACCAACTGATGGAAGCAGTAGGACTGGCACCAATCTTTCCCTGGCTGGCGTCGCTTTCTCAAAAAAACAAACCTGTTGCACGGATGACAAGCAATTTAATCAACGACCAGAACTGATTTTGGAAGTTAGGGTCACCCAAGTTCGTACGTTGTTTCTGGGAACTGGAACCGCCCATAAGGGCACCACGTGATGCCCTGATTTTGATGGTTTGGATTAAATGAAGCGTGCGCTTCAAGTCAAGCTAGTATGTAGGAAACTGCGGGGTTTCCCATGTGAAACTTAGAGATGAAGCACTGGGCCCAAGGGGAGCAACCCAAGGTCAGGTTAATTGTTGCGTGTTGCTGTATTTGTCCCTTTTTCTTTGTTTTGCTAGAAAACTAGATGGCGATCCCTGGTTTTGACCTGGTGGTTTCTTCTCATCTACCAGGGAGACCCATTCCCCATTTCCCCCTAAAATAACGGACACCCATGGTACTTGTGTGGTCCACAAGGGAAGCCAGGGGAAGCCAGTCAAGTTTAGACAAGCAAGCAAGCAGGGAGGTTCGGGGGAAGCAGGGAGGTGGAGGCATATGTTTTTTTAGAGATGATCTTTAGGCAAATGTTTCTTCCTTTGCAGGGAAGCAGGTTTTTTCCTGGAAGCAGGTTTATGTCTAAGGAAGCAGGTCTTTTCCTTTGCAGGGAATCCTGGAGGATCCCCGAAGCCCCGTATCCCCGCTAAGTTGGTTTCCCGCCTATTAGAGGGGTGCTTTGTCCCATAGCGGTCACGGGTCATCCCCTGCAAAGGACCTTTTGATGAACCCCCATGTCTCAGTTGCAATCAAAGCGAATCGACCTGATCTGACCTTTTGGTTTACCTCACTTTTGGGTTCCCATACTTCCGTTCCAAATTGTTTGCCTTTTATTTCGGGGTCTTTGGGGGCAACTGAGATGTCCCCGAAGAGATATCCTTGAAGCATATCCTACACCAGATCCTTCACGTCACCCGTTGCTTCTTTTGACATCCAGCTCCTTGCAGGTATAGCAGGCAACCCAACCAGCCATTTTCCATTTGGTGGTTCCCGCACTTGGTTATCTTCTTGTTTGGAGTAAATGGACCTTACACCTGGACCATTTTAGTGGCAGTTTGGACTTGTTTCAGCCATCCACTCAGGAAGTTGATTACCTGAGCCTCCTTGTTCACAAATTCAGCAAATGCAAAGTTGCACATCCAAACCTACCTGGAGCTCCTTCTGACCCTTTAACACAAATGGGTCAATGACCAACCATTATTTAGGGTTTTCAGACCAACCATTTTTCAGGGGTCATGGAGACTCCAGGTTCCCACAACTCGCATTAGTTGCCCTCTTCCCATTTGTATCATCGAAGTGAGGGCGGTTCCCCCAACAGTAACTAGTCTTCCCACACCTTCCGATCGGCAGTGTCCACGAGAGGGGGCTTGGATGTTCGGCCAGCAAGTTGTTAGTAACCCGCGTTGGAAGCTGCTAGTTGCGTCGCTGACAAACTTGGTCCCTCAGTTTTCAGAGATGTTGAGTTCCTGCTCGGGAATCCCGGGAAGAAATACTGGTCGTCTGTCTCAAAGCGAACCCCAAAACTTGTGTGTTTCTTGTTGTTTTCGCTACACAGCTCCAACATGGGTGCTCTCAACAACGGACACACGCATATATATATATATATATATAGCTGGGTGGTTTCCAGCCATCCCCTTAGTTTTTTTTTCCCCCCCCCCCCGGGTTTAGTGGTAGTTTCCAGTAACAAGGTTTTCGACTTTTAGCAGGGGACCGGAGGGGAACAGTCCAGATCTGTCCCTCTCCACAGCTCCTCCCAGGATTGCGACGCTGGACGCGAGAATTGGCGAAATGGATGGTCTGACGGCAAGAAGCACTGGCGCCTTCCCCAGGTGGATGAACTTTCCCTGTGGATGGTTGCGAAATCCATTTCGCACCACCCAAGAAACAATGGTTGAGACCATTGTTGGGCCTGAATTCACACGGGAATCATTCCAGGGTTTCTTAGGTGGTGACCACCAAAGAAACCCTAGTTTATGATTTGATTCCCCGGTAAATACCAACAAACAATGGTTTCAACCATGGTTTCAAAGTGGTGCGGGATTTTGTCCATCGACTGTAGGTGTCATTTTTGGTTGTTTTAGACATAGATGGGTTCCACTCGTTTGGATTGGTTTTATTCCAACCATATCGGGAAGTTTCCAGAAGGTTCCCTATGTTCCTGAATGTGTTCATACCCAGAAGGACCCCAGGTTCCTTATATTTACGGATTTGTTTGGATTCTGTTGACGAATCCCTGTTTCACCAGACCCGGGAGTCATTGCCTAGTGTTGGAGTAAAATATGTACGTAAAATCATAGCTCTCCGAGTGTTGTCTAGTTGATGCCCTATGTTGGTTGCGTTTGCTTGGCTTTGAGCACAACTTATGCTTGGAATATGTCGGTAAACATAACGATATTGATCCATTCCAACCAACCCCCTCAAAGGTCGGCAAACATCGACATGTAAAACTTAGGTAAAGTCGGTCAAAAGACTAGCCGTGCTTTTTTCGACTGGGGGGGAACTGTAGCCTGGCCTACGCCACCAAAGAGAGCCGGCGATTGCCCTCGAGGTTTTGTTGTGAAGGTTCCTGTGAGGATTCCAGAGGTCTGGTTGCTGAAGTATTTGATCTTCAAAGGTTCGTCCAGATGGGTCCAAAGGATGTTCAGTGAGTGAACCATGAAACGTTGAAGCCAAGATCGGTCCAAACGGTTCACAAACTTCACGCAGCGCTGTATGTCTCCAAGCACTTCGAGCACCAAGTCCCAAGAGCCAACTTTGGGTCTCAAGGCATTGAACTAGGTCTAGCACGGAGAGAGCATTGAACTAGGTCTAGCACGGAGAGAGCATTGAACTAGTAGGTCTAGCACGGAGAGAATGGAGAGAATGGATATGCCAAGTGGCAAAGAGCCGCCAGAGAAACTCACTCCCTGACTTGGGCTTCAAACTTTTTGGGCCTTTGTGTAGTACATCACCAGAGGTCTCACTTTTTGGGCGAGTCCGCTGGATCGGAAGTGAGGAAAGGATCAGGGTTGCACAAATCAGGTCCAACGTCCTACTTAGATGGTCTGGGGACTTAGCCAAATGGTTAGTAGCCCTGGTTTTAGGCGACTTACAACCATAGTAAGTGGGATACGTCCAGGGTTACTAACCACTTAGCTAACTCCTAGACCATCCAAGTATAGCCAAACCGGCTTTGGACTCCGACTCCACGTGAGCCGTCTTTAGCCATCCCATGGCGCGCTCTTCGCGGTGGCCATGGCTGGCTTTGGCTGCCTTGGGCCTGGCTGTGGCCTTTGCCGCTCGGAGGGCAATCTATTCTTTTTTGCAACTAGCGGTGTTTCGATGTTTTGGCGTTTGGAAGCTTTTGAACATTTCAACTGGTTGTTGGACACTTTTGGTGATGCATTATCTTTTTTGCGCACTTTTGGTGATTAATTCTGGTTGTTGGACATTTTGGGTGAAACAACATATAGTTGTTTGGACACTTTTGGTGATGGATTCTGGCTTTTTCACACTTGTGGTAAGAAAATGTGGTTTTGTAAGAAGGGTTCTTGGAAGGAGAGGAGAAGGTACCAAGCAACAAACCTCCCCTTGTTGTTTCAGTTTTTTTTTTGGGGGGGGAGGCCAAGCAAAGTTACCTGCGTTTCTGGGCAATATGTTCAAGACGTAGGGTTTGAACAAGGTTCCTTTCAGGGCCGGTTCTGGCGCCGAATCATTTATTTGCCTATTTTATCGCGAGCTTTGGGGGGGGGGAAAACGAGCTGACCATGACAACAGTTTGGGGATCCCTTAATACAGGCCCAGTGGGTTCCTTTTCTGCGCTTGTCGGGGTTCCCTGGAGCAAGCATTTGTATGTTGCCAAAGGGTTAAGACCCATGTGGCTGTGGGTCAAAAACAATGGGATCCCATTTTGGGGTTTCGGTGCACCGCCCATTTTAGAACCTATTTTGGTGGGGATTGGGATATTCACTGGGGGTACGGGCTTTTGACCCATGGCCATGTCTTGAAGCAACTTTTTTGGTGGTCCACGCCTTGTCAGGGAGCCTTCGTACAATTTGTGCTTGGGTTGTACCACACCTTCAATGGGCAAGGCTAATGGTACTGTCGATGGACGAAATATTCTCTTCGCACCACAAAATGAAGCCATCGCTGAAACAATTTGTTGTTGGTATTTACAGTGGGATCATCAGAAACCCGGATTCTGAACGATGGTCACCACCTAAGAAACCCTGGTTTCTGAATTGATTCCCAACGTAAATACACAACCAACGTTATGGTTTCAATTCCAGGTGTTTGATTTCGTGGTGCGAGAAGCGGATCTTTCGCAACTCCCTCCACAGGGAAAGTTCCATCCGAAGAGATGGCCTCTAGGCAATCAGGGAGCAGTGCTCCGAGCCAATCGTCACAGGAGGAGTTGCCCGACCCGAAGTAGTAAACCATTTCCCCCCACCGAGGGTGGATGAAATCCATTTCGCACCACTTGGGATAATTGAAGCCCTACATATAATTCGATACACCACCTACAAACTGGTGCAGGATTTTATCTGGGGGAGAGGGGGGGTACTAATCCTAGGTCGACATTACCTTTGGCATTTCGATCCTATCAGCTCCAGGGATTACGCACTTCAAGCAATCCAAGTAGACAAGCTTAGGGAGTAAATCAAGCTTACCAGTTTTTTTTCTTATATATTATATGGTTTATTTGGTAGTATTTTTTTCGCAGGGGGTGTCTCGAGTGTCTGGTGAATTTTCACGATAAGCCCGAAGCCTTCCAGTTTGCGAAGGAGGTCAATTCCTACAAGCCAGTGGTTTATTTTGTGCATTTTGCCAAGGGATGTTAGGACTTCAACTTTTTGCCAACTAATGGGTTTTCCGTATTAAAACACTAAAAGTTATTCACTTTTAGCAGTAGAGTAGAAAGCAACAGAGTTTTGTTTCTGGTGCCAAGGGTCAGGGTTCCGGGGCCTATATAAAGGAGGTGTTCGGATGGAGATCTTGCGGTCCAGTTCTATGGCTGGTGCTTCCTTTCAAGATTGGATTTGAGTCTTTGGGTGACTTGAGTTTCCATTTGATGTAGTATTGCTGGAACGTCCTCTTTAGGGCTTCCTTTCAAGATTGGATTTTGTTTTGGTCTTGGTGGACTTGAGTTGCCATTTAGTACTGCTGGAACTTCCTCTTGGTTGCCGGCGGGGCTGCTAATCCTCATTTTATGTACTTTTATTCATTTTCTGGGGCCACCCACGGACCCGCTTGTCGTTATTTCGGGCTCATTCTTGAATCCTAACTCGACATAGACGAACATAACATGATGTTAGTGCCATGATCCGCGCAGAGTTGTCGACCATGCCGCTAAAGTGAGCAACGGTCAACATTAACCATTTGTACAGTGAGCATACAGTCACGAATGACAAAGACATGAGTTTACTCAACCGACCGTGACCTCTAAGGCTGGTTCGTTTCCTTTGGGCTTTCCCTAAGTGGCGTTCAAGCTCCCCCGCCCGCTTCGTTTCTGGGGGCGAAGATGTTCAAGGAGCCCGACTACAGCCGTTTCACCCGCCCGTTGGCAGCCCCATGGCCTAGAAACGTGGAGCAGCCCCACCCCTTGCTGGCCGCTCACAAACAATCAACAGGCACCCCATATTTGCGGACTTGTGGATTTTTTGTTTGACGAATTCCCGTTTTTTTTTTTTTTTTTTCTTATCAGTCCAAAGCTATAAATACTTGGTACTGTTTGGGACTTTGCTAAGTAGGTTACAACCATGGTGAGAAGGGGACAATTCCCAGGTACCCACAACTTCGAACCATGGTTATATATACCTGGAGTCTCCATGACCCGAAATAAAAATGGGTCAATGACCAACCATTATTTTGGGTTTTCTGACCAACCATTTGTTAAGGGTCAGATCCGGAGACTCCAGGTATATAAAAAAAGAAAGTAGTTGCCTGACGTGGGTTGAACATCCACGTGTCGAGGCCTAGGATCCTGTCGTTAACCTCACCGTATCTGAGGTAAACTCTCCGCGAAGTCGGGGCCCGAAAGGCGCGAGTCGCGAATCGATGGGTCCTTTTGTCTCGGGTGCTTTGGGCGGTTTGGTTGTGGGAAATGGAACCCACTGTGATACAACAAAAGGGTCTCAAGACTAGCACCCCCCATTTAAACAGGGGATCCCCTTGTAATGTTGACCCAGGATTAATGAACCGTCCCACTCTTAGGGGGGTGTTCCCTCCAAAAGTGGTCTGAACCCGACCACTAAAACGAATTGGACACCCCCCAATCAAAATCAAGCGATCGGTCTGAACCCAACCACTAAAACGGGACACCCCCCTATTAATCAACCAGGGGTTAAACCACAGAAGTGGTTGGAATCAGACCCCTTGTGATCCTACCCTGCGCCTGGGTTTGGGCGGTTGGTTTGGTTTCAACCCTCTGGGCTTAGAGACTCAAGGGGAAAAACCAAAACACACACCTCGAAACCACCCAGAAAGCTAAGAATTGTTTTGGCTTTTAAAGGGAAACCAAAAGGAAGACCACTGGCCCCGTTCTGTGTTTTTGCTCGCCGGTTCCGACTTTCCAGTCTCTTAGTGTGTGTGTGTGTGTTTTTCAGACCCTTGAGTTGACCCGGCCAGCGTTGTGCAAACTTGGGCCCCAAATATGTGCCGCTGTTGTTTTAAGCGTCACATTTGAAACCACTTGAGAGTCAAATTCCTTTGGGGTGATGTATATATATATATATACTTATACATATAGGTAGGAACTATTCGAGGAAACGCGTTTCTATCCCGTGTCCCGAACCCCGATGACAACATCTTTTAGGCCCCTTATCTTACCTTGCAAATCTCATTTGGTGGTGTGATGTTTTGCCAAAGTGTCCCTTAGTACCTCATATGTTCGTGTGTTTCTTGCGGAATCTGTCTGGACGAATCTGTACTTTTTCGGAACCAAATCCAAATCCGGGAAACAACTGCTTTCCATAGCAGGACCTTCTGGGATTTGGTGTGATGTTTACTCCCCATACCTTGGTGTAATGCCTGGCACCCGTTCCTACTTGGGTGTTCAGCAAAGTTAGTAAGCGGTGATCGCCGCTTGGGGTTTTTCACTCCCTAACAAGGTTCACCCCACTTAGTGGGACTTGTAAGTGGCACCTGGAGTCTCCATCACCCTTGAAAAATGGGTCCTAACCAATATTTGGGGTTATAACCAACCATTTTTAAGGGTCAGAAGGAGATCGCAGGTAGGTTATAACCATGGTTGTACTCGAACTAACCCCAACCCCGTGGAGACTCCAGGCACGCACTTGTGACCTCAAAAATACGCCGCACCGAGCACGAAAAGGCTTGGTGCTGAGGTGAGAGGCGTTCCAGAGTGGCGCGGGGCGCGCTGAAGTGCCCCGGCCGAAAACAGACGTGGGGTGCCGCGCAGGGCTTGCTAAATGTGACCCGAAAAACTTGTGACCCCAGTGCTTCCAGGCGCTTGTCACTATAGTAGGTAACCCTTCGGGTTTCTTACCTCTAGGTTTTACAGGGTGGCTTCTCTTGGTTACCTATTATACTGGTAGTAGACCCCATATCAATCAACCAACCAGTTTATTAATCATGGGGGTGCTTTTCCCTGGGTGAAATGTGGGGAATCAGACCACTTTTGGAGGGGAGCACCCCCCTATGAATAAACTTGGGTTGACAAATATGGGTTCAACATGAACCCTTAGTTGGTCTGATCGGGGCTTACCACACCTCGAGTAGCTTTAGGAGGTCAAAAGGACTTATTTTGAGGCCCCGTATTCCATCAGGACCCTTCGAGAAGCAAACATCCTTGTTGGCATTTCGGCACTCTGACGTCAATCAAACATAAATGCACTCAGAGGCCCTATGGCTGTGGGTCAACACCAATGGGATCCCTTTTGGGGTTTTCGGTGCACCACCCATTTTGGGTCAAATGGGTTTATCGTATGGGATGTATGGGAAGGATTTGGCAAAGCCCCCTCCCTAATAACAGGCCACGGTTTCCTGTTGTTCTTTCACCAAAATCCCTCATGATTCAGGACGCCCCACTCTGCATTTGAAACATCAAAGGTATAGTAGATTTTCATACCACTGCCATTGACACTTCCTTTCATAGTTACACTGATTGCCTTTCCAGATGGTTGGATTGGGATGTTCGCTGGGGGTACGATTTGGGTTTTGACTCAGAGGCCATATGGCAAAAAGCCCTTCCTATGATTGAGGGCCAAGAAGCGGAAGGTGATCTGCGGGTAGCATGTCAACTGGGTCCCCCAGCGTGCCAACTTTTAACCCCTTCTTTGGGAGGGGAACCCCCTCAAAATAGACAGAGAAAAAAGGTTAAGAAAAGGCGGGTGCCAACTTCTAGGTCCTCTCTAAGTGCCACCAGATGGGTTTCTCGAGTCCAAGGGCAAGGATCCGAGGCCGGGGGTATCAGGCGTTGCTTCCTTCGGGAGCGATCGGGTACTTCAGTGGGTACCTGGAGTCTCCGGATCTGACCCGAAAAAACAAAAAGGGTCAATGACCAACCAATATTTTAGGTGATGACCAACCATGTTTAAAGGGTCATGGAGACTCCAGGTATCCATGGACATAATGCACAGAACCCCATGGCTATAAGTCTCCGTTCAGTGGGTTATAACCAGGCTTACTAACCACTTGCCTGACGTACCCTGACCCATGTGGCATGTGTTTATTTCTGTAGGTTTAGGGGGCTGCAACCAAAGGACGTGTTTGCCACGCCAAGGGTTGGAAAGATATGTTTACACGTTTACACCTATAGATATGTACCCAGCGCAACATAAATCCCGTCTTCAAACAGAGGGGCCCCCTAACAGTGAAGAATATGTGTCCAGATACCAACCACATCCCGATCCGGGAATACGAGTTAGAATAAGCCAACTGAAATCAATACTCTTGCCGCGATTTCCCTCGTGACCCCGACACCAGCCCCACGTGAGCGGTCCTCCTCAATCCTTGCCTTTCAAAAGCCACAAACAACCGAACCCGAAACTCGAACATGTTGTTTAATTATTATGTTGACTTCTTTATATATATATGTATACATAAAATACAATATATATATATATATTTAAAAGAAACAAAAGAAAAGAGAAGAACAAAACGCCTGAATCCAGCGACCCCGCCAGGTTCACCTACTTCCCACTCTGGGCCAAGGGCCCTGCCGCTGCCCTGGCGCTGCAGCACAGCGGCCTGGAGTGGGAAGGCCGCGCCGAACCTCCGAGCGGACAGCGCGGTGTCGGCGGAAATTCCACTACCTCAGTGGCCCAGTGCCCGTGTCCTCTTTTTGTTTGGCGGAAGGGTTCCCCCTTTAAAGTCGACCAACCAAAAAAGGATGGCCATTTTTTTTCTCATGGCTGCTGGGTTTCGGCGGAAGTTCGCATCCCAGAGGGTCCCTTGGTGTCTTCTAAGGAGGTACTGAACGACCCCTTTTACCCCCCAAAAGCCATCCTCAGGAGGTACTTGGACGCTCTGGGCATGGCATGTGAGCCACAATCAACACCCGTGTAGATGAAGGATAGTAAGGGACGAGTCCAGCCAGAAACAGCAGCGGCCGCCTCTGTATTTCCTTACATGGTTCTGGGTCAACCATTTTAATACCCGGTTGTGACTCATTTGGCGTTTGGGGGTGTCTCTTTTGAAGTTGGTGCCCATTTTTGGTGGTTTCAATCGGACACCAACAGAAAAATCGTGTTTTTTGGCACTACTGTTTGGCGGACAGGTTTGCAGTACGGCCGAAAAAAGCCGTGATAGCCCTGTACCGGTTTGGGTTTATAGTAAGGCCTCAAATACATTTTGATAAGCATGTTGCTAGAACTAAGCGTCAACAGGTTTTTGGTGCTGCTCAAGTGAACTGATTAATTGTTGGCTCTCTCCAAAAGTATGCAATATAGAGTACCTGGACCCTTAAACTACCCATAAAAACCTGGGAAGTCACTCACTATTTTGGGGCAATAGGCAATAATCAATCATTTTGGAGCAACAGAAAAACCCTGGTGAAGGGTTGGTTGCAAATGGTGTTGAATTAAGCAGTCGGCTCGCTTTCTTGCCTCCTTGAAAAGGGCAATGGAGTTTGTCAGGTCACCTTGAATTGGCGCTTCGGATTGCGGTTTGGATTTAAACCCTTGGCCTTGGTGGAGGGTAAACAAATATCAAAACCCAATGTTCGGCATAGATCTGGGAAGGCTCAGCTCAGTGAGGTTCGTCCATGAGATATCTTGAGATTTTTGAGATTTGTTGAGTCTTTCTGTGTGCCTTCCATTGTTGAGTAGATTGCATGGTTGTCGTTGAATTTGAGAAGACCTTGAGAAGACCTTGAGAAGACCTTGAGAAAACCTTGAGAAGACCTTGAATTCCCTCGAGTTTGTAGTTGAATCTACCAACTCTATTTATGTTAGCAGGAGATGCTGGACGCACCACTCATCGTGTCACTGCAGTTTGCATGCTTATGAGCGTCACAGATTTGGAGTTGCGCTGGTTCTTGTCGAAGAACCCGTCAAACCAAACCAGCGGCTTTAATCCAATGGGTTTGAGCCAGGATGCTTCGTTTGAGAAAGTCACGCCCAGAAATCGCACCGGGAGTCCGCTTCTGACCCGAAGCAAACGTGTCGTCATGACCCCTATATGTTGCGTAACGACCCCTTGTTCTAAGGGTGAGAAGGAGACTCCGGGCAAAATAAACACGATTCGTGGTGTCGTCCGGGGTACGTCCCACTTGGGAACCTATTTGCTGGGGCGGGGATGGATCGCACTGCTAGGCGTTGAGTTTTCACCAAAAGCGTCATTGGCTCTCTGTTCCCAACTTTCCCGATTGGTGCAGCGATTCGGGCATGTGTCCGAGGTGTCGCCTCCCTTTTCACAGGTACCAGCTCAAGCCCCCCCCTCCCTCAATTGTTCAAGCAGCCAACGATTCTCACTTCCTGAGTGCATGAACTTTAAGCTTTTCGGGTTGGAAAGACCATTTTGTGTGGTAAGTAAGTACAAACAGTTTGGGTACCTTTTTTGGGGCCATCCACTGGATCGCCAGTGAGGTTTGCTCACACATACCCGCTGAATTTCACCCGAAAGACCCCCGGGGTTTGCGCCGCGGCGCGGCGCCATGCGCCAGGTGCCTTCCCCGAAGATTGGAAAACGCTGAAGGGCACCACGCCCTTTCTGGAGTTGCCCGTGCTGGAGACGGAGGACCGAGTCGCCGAGCAAAGCCGAAGCGGGTCCCTTACCTCTCAGGTACCTGGAGTCGGATGTGACCCGAAATAAAAATGGAACAATGACCAACCATGATTTTGGGTCATGAGCATATCAAAGTTCGATGGCACATATGAGCTGAGGTTTGTTTTGAATGTAAATTCATGTCCATCCCATGGTCCACTTGGGGTTAGGAACTGGGGAGTCGCTCAGGGGATACTTCGTGATAGTTCGTGGCTTAATTCCCGTGCTTCCTTTGTTCTGGGTATATTGTAGCCTGCCAAATGTGTTTTAACGTGGTAAAAGTGGTTGAAAGAGTTGTTCAAGACATTCTTGTTTGGTTAAAATGATTTAAACGGGCAACCAGTGGGACAATTGGAGCCTGTCCCGCCTGACCAACCTGGCCGATCTGGCCGATTGACCCAACCCTTCTAGAGTAAACAGCTGTCTCAAAATTCGGGAAAACAACAACTGGATTTGGTTTGCCTTGGGGTTCCGCAACAAACCGAACAACAAGTGACCTTTAAGCTACCCATAAAAATGGGAACTCACCCATGATTTTGGGGCAGTATCCAATTTGTAAGGGTAGTTTGAGGGTCCAGGTAGACTTATGTTGGAGCGGAATCAGCAAAACCCAGGTCAAGGGTTGGTTGCGAATGATGTTTAGTGAAGCAGTGACCCCACTTTCTGGCCCCAGTAGTTGCTGGTTTGGATTGGTGGTTTGTTTCCTAAAGCACAGTAATTGACAAATCCTCAAACTTTGAATAGAAAATGGATAATTCGCCGCATCATGTTGCATGGAGCCCGTTCTTATGGGTAGTTTTTTAGGGTCATTCACAAATCCACCTGATTTTTTACACCCAAAACCGGTTTCTATGGGGCACCAAGGGATCCTTTGGGATCCTAGTAACAAGTCCAGGGAGTTGAACACAATGACTAACCAGTCCCCGCCGACCTGCAACACCGATAGGAAAATAATCATCTCCATGACCCTTAAAAAATGGATCAATGACCCCAATATTTTGGGTAATGACCCCATTTTTAAGGGTCATGGAGACTCCACCCAAAACCAACACCCTAGTAATACTGCCTGTTCGAGCAGCTTTGCAAACTACTTGTTGGCTTCCAATTTCCTCCAAGATGAAACCGATGAGGGAGCCTTCGGGGGGAAGTACTGGTGTTCAAAAGGGAGCCCCGCCTACCTCCATTGCGTAGGACAAGGAAAAGTGTGCAGGCCAAGGAGGGTCAAGGTGGAAATCATTGACGTCTTCTTAGACCCCAGGTCGGACAGTCCAGGCCAAAAAAAGTGGCAAACTGTTTGTTTGGTAGTGGATTTTAACAGGGTCCACCTCCCAAAAACCAAGTTCACATGGATCTCCGTACTTTTCATCAGGTTTCCTAAACCCAGACGCTCCTGGACCTTCCAATAAAAGACCCAGACCCTCCATTGGACACCCCAGAGGGTTTTTTGTGTGTCTGAAAACCTGGCCGATGGAAGGCCCAAAATCACTCGGGAGTGTCTGGGAAAGCAAATTCGACAAAGAACGGGCGTGGGAGCCAGAGCGTGGTTTGCAGGACGCTGGAACGAAGCTTGGCAGAGCGCGGCTGCGCATTTGTTGCGGTGAAGAGGCAAAGGGTCAATTTCTTGGTACTCAACATTCAGGGCTATCTGATTCGAGTGGGATTGCGGGGTCCAACACAAAATTGAGTCATGGTGCAGTGAGATAATGAAACATATTTGTCTGAAAGGGGGTGTACTCGTACATTCATTACGATCATTCTCCCACAATTTAACACGTGAATGAAGGGGCTGAATTCTTCCAAGCATTTTTATCCCATGATCCTGGCGATTTGTTCAGTTCTGTTTGTTGAACGGCCCTCGTGTTACCTGTGCAATTCTTGAGCTTCAGGGATCGTGGCCACAGGTTCACAAGGATGGAGCCTGGGTCCCGATAGCAGCCCCAAAAAACACACAGTCCACCAGGTTGATGGTCAACTGCAGGGTTGCGGTTGATCGCTCGGGGTTTATCCGTTTATCGACTTTTGTGTTTATGGGGAAAATGGCAATTTGGGAATGGCCCTTTTGGTTGTATCGTAGAAGCGGAGTCCATATTCCACAGCCCTGGTCAACCGTACTTCTGACTGACATATTCCAAGCATTTCTCTTGTTCCCAGCATCGACACATATGGCTCGCCGGGCGTATTTGATGAACAGAATGAGAATGTTCGGGAAAGGGGATCGATCGAGGTATTTGGGGACCAGAAGCGGGTTTTCTAATATGGACCGGGTTAGAGCTTGCACCAAAGGACAATCATGCAACATTACAGAACCCATACCAATTTGGGTATATCATATAAAGGAATTGCCCGCAAAGTAATTAGTAGGGCACCTCTTCGCTTCCCAATTCAAAGTTGCCACCAAAAAGGATACCCTCAAACACAAGCACCCATTTGTAAGATCTCGTTTAGGGCCCCCTGACTGAGGACCCAGCCTTTCAGTGAAGCATTCTTTTGAAATCCTTTAGAAAAAAAGGCCAACCCCATGTGGTGCTAGAGCCATAGCAAACAAAGAAGTGGAGGGTCATAGTGCTTGTCCTGAATGAGCCTCTAAGCGTTACTGGTAGTCAGCCATTGCTCCCATTGCCCAGCGGCTCCCCTTGCCGCTGGGATGTGCTTAAAGAAAATAGTTTTGACCCGATGTACTTAATGGTTGATGATTTATGGGGGCGGACTCACACAGCTCCTGCTGGTGCTGTCTAGATGTGTATCATACCCCGCGGCTGTGCATGGCCCCCTGCTAAGTGGTCTTTTGCCACGGTTACAAGTAGCGCGGGGAGTTGGTGGATTGATCACCAAGCTTGCAACCCATGAACTAGCAATGAAGTAGGATGAATGTTCAAGGAGAGAAAGTTCGCAAAACAGACCCTAAGAGGATGACGAAATGCGGACCCGTTCTCTTCCCAAATCATGTGGGACATGGTTATTTAGAGCCAATTCTACTCCTTTAGATTTGCAAAATCGTCATACGGATGGCCGACGCATCACAGAAATGGCTTCCATTTGCTTGAGATTAGTTGTTTTTAGTTTCCTCCGTTTGAATGCAAAGGGAATCTATCACTTTACTGAACAAAACCGCTATTTTGCTGGAGATTGAAAGCAAATGGATGAGGGTTGTGTTTCACAATGTCCCAGTCGGTGAACAAACGTTGTCACAATCAAAACCCGGGTAGATGAAGGTTAGTAAGGGGCCGTCCCAGCCAGAAATAGTTTCGGAATTCCGCCTTCTTAATTCTTGAAGCATGGTTCTGGGTAGACCATTTTAATACCGAGTTTTGATTTTGACTCAGATGCCGTCACTCGCGGAAGCAGAAGAACCTCTAAGGATTGGCCATGAGCTGGCGATCTTGCAATACATCGCCACGTGCTCCGGCCTTTTCGGGCAACCACGGGCTGGCTGCAGAGTTCTAATTTGGCTTGGTTTGAGGGTATCCGTTTCAGGGTTGCCCTATTTGTACACATGCCATTCGCAGATGACCCAACGTATGGCTTTAAGAACCAGAGCGAAGTTGTGGGGGTAATTTGCCCCCTGTATCAGAGTGAACGCCCAGGGTTGTTTCTTGGGGTAATGCAAAAGCTAGGATGAGAAATTATGTGTCAAGATTTGGTGGTAGTACGTTGGACGGGTGTAGGCCAATCCACTCAGAGAGTGATGTTGTGTGAGTGTTTGTGTATATTATTTGTCCAACGAGGACAACTGGTGTGATTTTTGTGTGACATTCCGGACACTTTGCAACTGAAGCTGGCTCTGCCTTGTTTGATTTGTTTGTACATTTGGGGCCCTTGAGGCGGTTGCGTTTTGAGGGTGTTTTCAGGGTGTGAAGCCATTTTTTGAAAAGCAATGACCATTGCCAGTTCAGAGAGCAATGTCATGTGACGTCACTTCAAGAGCCCAGTTTGAGCCCTCTCTCCTTCAGAAGGAAGCCAAGAAGGAAGAGAAAAAACATGTGCTTTGTTCACAGGGAATCCTTTTGAGAGGGACGTAGAAAGATGGATAATCACTTTGGAATCGACTTGAGCAATGCTTGTGAGCGAAGCAGCCAGACCTGCCTGCAGAAGTTTTGTGCTTGGCGTGTACGTAATATGCGCGCCCACGATCAAGGAGGTGTATCATCCCAGTATTTCTTATGAACTCCCTAAGGGTTTTGGGGGCTTTGCCCACGGGTTCAGACGGGTTTTGGGGGCAACTTTTGGAACCCGAAGGTTCTGGGTACGGGAAAGGGGCCGAGGGGAACCTTAAGGAACCAGAGTTGGAAGCCCCAAGGAACGCGAGGGATTCCTCGAAGGAGTTGTGAGCTCTTGGGATTGCCCAGATGGTCCCAACCGGTACCTGAGGATGGCTTTTGGGGGGTAAAAAGGGGGGTCGCCTAGGTACCTCCTTAGATACCAAGGGACCGACCCTCTGGGTTGGGATCTGATCGATCGAAACCGACCGCTCAAGGAAGTCTCAGAAGATGGGGGGCGCCGTCAGGGAGATGGCAATCTCCAGCCAGCTCATGTGCGAGGCTTGGGGAAAAACATATTTTTGGACTGGCCCAGTGCTTCCAGTGACCTTCCATGTGCTTAATAATATTGTGTATTGAGCTCCCGGTTGGGGGGTCGAAGGGAACCTAGATGAATCTATCCCTACGGGAAATATATATATATATAGTGTTTTTTTGTTTTTTTTTAACTGTTTCCAGGGGGCTTGAGTCAGAGGCTTGAGTGGAAGTTGCCCTATAGTCGGTAACCCCGTGGGAACCGTCCATGGTAAAACCTAGCGTGTTACCTACATAAGTGGTAACTGGCGGCGCTGGGTGTGTTTATCCACTCCACTCCATTGGCATCAATCTCAGCTCGGATGGTCAACTGACGATCCCACGCGATTCTCCCATAATACCTAGGTTACAGGTTACCCTTCGCTTTTGTCTTCTTTTGTTATGCGGTGGTTCCCTTGGTTGTCTGTACGGATAAGGACCCACGTGTGTTAATCCACTCTCCGACTGAGAGTTCATTGGGAATCCTTGCCATGCCTGGCCGATGAGGTTTGAAAACAGAAGTCAGCAGGATACATGTGGGCGTGTCCGATTTGGTCGAACCCGTAGTGGGCTTGATTTACAGGGACGCCTCCCTGTTGAAGGCTTTCAAAAGACAACGCCTACCGCTGCACAAAGTCCATGAGGAAAAACCCACTCCTTGGGATGGTTTGGTCCAGTTTCAGGGTTTCATCCCAGGCTTTGGTCCCTCTTAGGGAAGCATCCATTCGGAATGCAGGACTTGCCCCATGTCTATTGGTGGTCAGTTACTGCCACATGTCAATACTCGCATCTTTCTGAAACTGGTCTATGTTCGATCCCTTTGAGATGCCTGCGTCGCATTGGCCGGTTGCTTGCTCGCCTTTGACCTCTTTGTTTTTCTTTAAAACTCAGGTGATCCCAACATAAAACTTTATGAGCTACTGTTGATGGTTGCGAAATCCATTTCGCACCACGAAATGACATCATGGAGTTATTTGTTGAGGAATCATCAGAAAACAGGGTTTCTTAGGTGGTGCGAAATGGATTTCGTCCATCCACAGCATGGTTTGCTTCTAGGTATCATCAAGCTGAGACGAAAAGGCATATGAAACATGTGCGGGACAACTGTCCAAGTTCTCCAATATCCAACATGTGGTACTGTTGTCCCATCAGTATCCTTTGGAATCAGCCAATAGAAAAGACAAGTCCTATGTGTCCTATTCCTTTCTGGTTTCAGGCCCATGGGCAAGTGAGTTGTGCTTGAATAATCCTGACGGAAAGACAATCGTGACCATAAACAAATGAACATCCCCGCTGTTCGTAGAAGTGTCACCATCACACACCGGCACCCAACCCGCCCAAGATCAGAACAAAGGGTGATTGAGTTTTTGCTCCTTTTGTCTTATAGTGGTTCAATCATAAACGCCTTCAACAGGGTTGGCGGATTTCCACCTGGTCTCCCGGCTAAGTTAGTAACTGGTTCGCCACCTGGGTAACAACCTGCAAATACCAAGGTTAACCCGACTCAGGGGGACTTAGAACTCGGTAACAACCTGGGTTACCAACAACTTTCTAACTTCACCAAACGCCAAAGTGTGGACTTTCTTGTCAGACTCTGCAGGCTGAAGACATTTATCAGAAGCTCGCCAAGATCAAGCAAGGGCTTATCACAGGCCAAGAAATCGGTCGCCGATGTCGTCGATTTCGATTCGCGTGCGAGAATCGGTTCTTCGGTGCTGCGGAGCTCTGTGATCCAAAATCCCCCCAACCAACTTAGCAAGTAGGTTATAACCATGGTTATGAGTGGGGGAATTGGGATAGGTTTCCCTATAACCATGGTTATAACCTCAGTAAGCTTGAACACCCAAGTAACTGCCGTTACGTCATGGGAGTCTCAAACAAATCATTTGCAGTGGAAGTGTTTTTGTCTATGCACGGGCAAGTGGTATACCAATATGTTGCACGCAAATTTGTGGACTCACGCAAAGCGGCGAGCATTTTTCCACAGCCGTGTCAGAGGCCAGTGTGTTGCCAATACGTTGGCGTTGACAAGCTCGATAACATGGCTCTAGGCATTTCGATTTGTTATTTTGAGGCTCGGTACCCTTTTGGGGGCGGGTTTACAGAAACCGAAAAGACACTTGTTATTATCACGTGCCAAATCATTAGTACATGTCAACTCAGTGTTTGTTTCACTTCTGTGTCGGGAGGTCCGTTCAAAAACAGTGCTTGCTGACTGAGAACGGGTCCCCCAACGCGACTGGAGGAGAGATCGCTGGGAGAAATCGCTGCGTATCGTACTATTGTTTTGGAATTGGCAAATTCTAATTTAGTATTGGGCCCGTTGGGATTCGGGAAACACGTACTTGGGGGACACTTATTATGGGGACAAAAATTAGCAACCATGATTCTCTGGATGGACGAAATCCATTTCGCACTACCTAAGAAACCCTGGAATGATTCGATTTCCTCGCAAATACCCACAAACATGTGTCCCATGGTTTTCAAGTGGTGCGAAACGGATTTTGTGCATCCACAGTAGGACCCCTAAAGAGGGAAGCGTGACGGCCCACTTGGGAGTTGCCGCAAACAAATGTGGCTTGCTAGGGGAAGAGGCGGCGGGCTTTTGGACGGATGAGAATGACCAGATCCACAACAGGCACGATGAGTCGGGAGGCCAGATGACAGACCCGGAGGGTCCCTTGGTAGCCCATATGTACATGGCTGTGGTTGTCAAAACCAATGGGATCCCATTTAGGTGCACCACCCATTTCAGTCTATTTTAGTGGTTGGATTGGGATGTTCACTGGGGGTACAGGGTTTTGACCCATGGCCACATGTTTGGGTTTAGTTCAAGGGCATTTGTCAATCATTTACAGGTGTCTCAAATCCGCAAAAAGGTATTTGCACCCTCTGGGATTTCCGTGGCTGCGAAGAGTGTTTTACCACTTCCCGGATTTTGTGACCGCTATGCAGACCCCTTCAATGACAACCCCCTGTCGCAAAGAATGACCCGGGTGCACTGCACCGGTTGCCACTGGCACCTTGGATAGTAGAAGGGACATTTTGAAGGTTCAAGTCTAGAAATGAGCTAAACTGGTTTTGCAAACTGAGGGTTGGTGTGGTCATCAAGCCTTGGACACAATTGCTTGTTATTGCTTGTTCACATTATTGTGCTCTTGGAGGGTTCCCTGCTCACCTTGTCCAACTGGAAAGCAGCCTATTTCAAGTCCTCTTGCGCCTTTTTCTGTCGGATGAATCAACCCCAGTTCATACGGGGGTGTTCCTATAGAGATGAAATGTGGGGAATGAGACCACTGGAGAAGCAAATCGGAAAGTCCTACCCTATGAATCGGATTTGTTTTTTTCTGTTGCACGATGGCGCCAGGAACTTCGGACTAAAGGTTTATCTCCGGCTGCTGGAGGTTCGGTTGCCCGACTCGAACGGACCGCATGTGACAGGGCCTTTTTGGCATCCCCCAAGATCGAAGCGCCCGAGTTTTTTCGGTAGTTGGTTTTGGTGGGGGGGAAGGGTTTCACTTCGCAACGCGCTTCCTGGGTTCTGTTCCGGACTCTTTTTTTTGTGCACTTTTATGGTGCTGGACAGTTTTAGTACGGCAAACGTCAACAGTTTGCGACTTTCTGGCGCCAGTACACTCACCCAGTGGATCTATTTACCTGCATACTAGGCACGCATCGGAACCACCTTTCAAACACCCAAAGGACAACTTGCTGGTCACCTACTCAATGGGGAACTGGGATCCACTGCGTCAGGGAATGAAATCATGCGCCCACAAAAAATGCGAACTGTTTTTTTGTCATATGGCAGTGGCTCAAAATGTAAGAGGCGGGGTTACGCAGGTTTTGGTCCATGTTTCCACTTACCAGGGCAACCCATTTTGGTACCGGTTTTTTGAGCCATACCCATATGGCCACTGAAGTCTTTGAGCTTCCCCTTCATCGCTGGTTTGGATTTGAATTGGAACCTCTGGTTCTTGTAGAGGGTAAGCGGAAACCCAGCCGCCAAAGCACCGGGCTCCAAACCGCCACAATTCGGGGAAAGCCGAGTCTTAGGATGAGCACATGGGGTGAAGTGTGGGTCAAGAAAAAAATCACCTCGGACATCCCCAAGTTTGCAGTTTCCTCGGTACACCGCAAGGGTTTCTGGGCGCAATCCTGTACTTGAAACTGCCAAGTTGGGCCCAAGTGAGCTCTTCAGCTTCCGAGGACATCCCACTTATCTAAGGTTAGCTTCCATTTCTGTCCAGGCATCCGATTCTTTCCAGGAAAAGCCGCCCAAAACCCTGGGGGAACGGATCCGGTTGAAAAGAACGGTGGTTGAAAAGAATGGGGAATCAACCCCTAGAACTTAGGCTATGATTTGTTTAAGAATCGGAACTTTCTGAAGTCTCCTTCTGACCCGAAATAAAAATGGGTCAAGGACCAACCATTCCTTTGGGTAGTGACCAACCATTTTTTAAGGGTCGGAAGGAGACTCCAGGCCCCTCCAAAGTGGTTGGCGGGCCCAGCTTTAGCTGATGTCCACCATTTCGGGCCCCCAATTTAATTTCGCACACACACACACACTTTTGCTTAGCGGCTGATCTGCGTTTCCCGCTTGCCTCATGCGCATCTCAGAAAGTTGATCTTGCCGCCTAACGAATAGGTTTTGGCCCTGATGGTGTCCTTTCTGAGGGTTTTCCGATGTTTGTGTTTCTTAAACTGGGGATTTCGGGGCCTGTTTGATTTTGGCCTTTGCAAGAGAAACCAAAAGGACACCCAAAGATCATTTTAGGGGATCTTATAACTTTATTTTTTGGGAGGCCCCATTTCCAAACGTGGTGAATGATTAGGATGCCACGCCTGAGCACAAATGGCAGAAACCGTGAACTTTAATGGACCCGGAATGGTGGACCTCAGAATTCGTTGGGCGCTCATGTCCACCAACCTTGGTGGTTCCAACTCTCAAAATTAAAACAACAAAAACAACATCGCATGACACTTGGTTGCTGTTGAACCCCTGCAAAAAGTTAAGCTTTTTGGGGGTTCAGTGGAAAACACCTTTATTTCCCAAGAAGTTAAAGTCTAAAGATCCAACCGGCTTTGGGCGCAACAGCTCAGCAGCTCACTTCAGCAACTCGCGTCCGGATAGAGAAGTGTAGCCCAGTGGATCTATTTACCTGCAGGCGAAACCATGGGCTTGCCACCCGATATAAGGCTGTGGTTGTCAAAACCCTGTAGCGCTTGTGAACAGCAAAGTAGGTGGCGAATGGATGTTCATCCACCCCAAAATGGGATCGCCATAGGCTACGCAACCCATGGCCATAAAACCAAAAGGAAAGTACGTTTGTCACCTATCACATGGGCTTGCCTGGGATCCATTGGGTATGCTTTCTTCCACACTTGCCCTGAGTAAAAGACTGATAGCTTTGCATTCAGGTCCGTCGAAGACGGGCATACAAGGAGACACCGAGTCGATGTCTTGGAAAGCCGAACCTTTGGGCAACTCTTGGTCCACGAGCGTGCATGTTCTCGTCCCAAATTCTTGCTGGTGCTCAGCAGGGAATGAGGGAATGGCGCCAATAAAGAATCCCTTGTGGTTTGTCTTGAGGGAATCCCAAAACCGGCTCATTTCCACTGGGTCATTCCCTACCAACCGCACCAACAAGAATTGGAGCCCATTTACGGCCCAAATTGCGTCCCGACGAGGCCTTCTACTCGAAATGCGCAAAGGAGAGCCGCTTGGCATGAGTTCGACGATGGAAATCCAGTAGAAAATGGGTGGTTTCTTTTTCCCTGTTCCAACCCTTATGGTAGGCAACCCTTCGCCATTGTCCATTTGGTTTTTAAAGGGTGGTTCCCTTGGTTGCCTTCTTCAATGGGAATTGAAATCATTTGGTTTGGTTCTCTTTAATGTTTCCCTTTCGTTGGTTCCGTACAAAGTTTGAGGTATTCACAGGGGGTTCCCCCCCCCCCCTCAGCCACTAGCCACTAGAGGAGGTATCAGTCAGGGAGCAAATACACTAATGTGAGCTTTGGAGGACCCTACTTGTCAGAAGACCCCCTGAAAAAGCTCACAGGGAACCTTCCCCGACTAGTACATTCCTCCACATTAATCCGAAGTCAAGATGAACACAAACCAAAAAGGGGGGCCTGCCTGTTCATCAGCATGGAATCCACCAGAGGGTCCTTCTAAGAGGAATATGGTCCCCCGCCACCCCGGCCTAGTCAGATTCCATGTTAGGGACAGGATGGGAGGGTCTGTTGGATTCGAGCAACCGACAATGTCATGGATGCTCAGCACCGCAGATTGAGGACTGATACATGTCAAGCGGGACAACCCCTGCTTAAGCAACCAGAGCTTTAGCAATCCCGGGTTCCCACAATGACCTGGACCATCATTCGTTATGTAAATTTGTGTCCCTTGGGTGTTTCGTAGCATAAATTTGCTAGTCGGGTGTTTTTGGGGGGAACGGGCGCAAACTTGGATTCGAGCATTGTTGGCTATTGCGGCGGCTTCTCTCTTCTCATATATTCTGTTGCGTAAACGAGACTGTTTTGCGGAACGAGCTCTTTTTGGATCATTGGGCGACAATAATGTGGCCCGAGCATTTTTCATTCGTGACGCAACAATGGCAGGTCCAGGGATGTTTGATGCGAGAACAGCGGGGCACAGGCAACCTCTACGTTTGTTTATCAAAAAACGTCACGGGACTCACTCACTTTCCCAACGTTTTAAGGGAAATGCTCACTTGGGATCAAAGCCACCTGGTGAGACCCCCCACCTGGGTGTCTCATGGAGGGATTTGGGTCTTCCAGCCGATTCGCCGATCGGAGCTTCTCTGGGTCACTGAGCTCATGGACTTTAAGTCGGCGAAACCATTTTAGCTACGGCCCAGTTGGCCGATCAAAGCCCCAAACCCCCATAAAACAAAGGACTATGATGGTGGCTATGTGAACCACCATTGTTTTTAATGGTGGTTTGAACCCCAGGGCCAAGGGCCTTGAGCCCCCCCCAAAACCATCTGAAAGCGTGAGAACTGGGGCTCCTGGGCTTGGCGAGGATTGTGTTTTGCCAGGCCCTTTGATCGGAAGTGAGTTACAGTTTGCAGTCGCATATGAGTTTACTTTATGGACTTCGACTTTCCTCACACAACCCCAACAGAACGTGGCGCAGATGAGGCATTTGCAAGAATTGCAGCACGTTGACACCTGTGCTGCTTTTGAAATTGAGGGAAGGCCAGCCAAATGTCAACTCTTGCTCCACGGACAAGAATACACATACACCAAGCACATCAGCTCCCTTTTCTTTCCCAAAATGCCATGCTCTGCCGATTTCCTTTCGAGTGACCGAGATTCTGGATGAAACCAGGGCCTATCTTGATCCTCGCTCATTGCCCTGTATCACTGGCCGGGATGGCTAGCATATGTTGCAGCGTATCAATTTACTGAGCTGTTTGCTTGACTGCTACTGGGTTGGATCTTTAGGCTTTACCTTTTTGGGGAGTCAAGGGGTTTTCCACTAAACCCCCAAAAAGTTTATCTTTTTGCAGGAGGGTCAACAGCAACCAAGTTTGGCTCTATACCCAGACCTCGGATCGTCAACCTTCAAAAACAATAGACGAGATCATGGGGGCGTTCTTTTCCCATCCAAAACCTGAGCCATTTTTCCGGGTACCCCTCCCAGGGTGAACTTGAAGAAGCCCGGCCTTTTGCATGTCCTTGACCTTCCCACTGGATCCTAAGCCCATTGAGTAGGTAACCCTTTTCTAGTTTACCCTTTTTTGGTGTTTACATCGGGTGGCAAGGCCTGGGTTTTCTACACAGGTAAATAGACGTGCTGGTGCGATAAGTAGGGAATGAGGGAATGACCCCAAACCATCCCATATGGTTTCCTGTAAGGAATCTCCAGGTTCATTCCACCTCATTCCCTACCTATCGCGCCAGCAAGTAGGCCATGGGTCACAACCCCGTACCCCCAGTGAGCATCCCACTAAAATAGACTAAAATGGGTGGTGCACCTACCAACCAAAATGGTACTGGTGTTGACCCACGGCCAGTAGATCTGGGCTTCTTGCGTGCCTTAGGTGGTGATGGTGTAAAGCTCGACGCCCTCGGAGGCGCCATCTGAGCGGGCGTCCTCCTTTTCGGCCTTTTTCTTTGGGGACCGGACCCTCAAAATGGCGATGGTCCGTTTGAAACCACAAAAATAATGACCCCATTAGTTTGGCTAATGACCAACCATTTTTTAGGATCATGGAGACTCCAGGTGCCAACTCCAAAGCAAGACGCACCTACATGTCCTCTTGGGACTCCTTGTCGAGTGTCATGTTTGAGAGGGTACCCTATTTTGAGAACCCCTGAGTTCCTGAACTTTTGTCACAATTTCAAGTCTTACCCAATAGAAAGGGGTCATAGCCACCATGTTTAAACCGTCATGAAGACTCCAATGTATTTGGGAAAACCACGTTTTTGGCAAGCACAAAGTTTGCACCTTGCCAATTCTCTCTCAGGATTTCTTTGGACATTCGGCTTCCAGTGCTTTGCCTTATTGACACCAAAGACAAATCTCTGTTCAGAATATGAGTGCTATGTTGAAGCTTTCTACACCTCGCCCGTGCCAATCTAAAATGAGTGTCCTCTTCGCATTATATAGCACGAGTTATTTTCCATGACATGTGGCAATTTGGTGATACAGTATTCCACGACACCAACTAGTTGATTTATGCCTTTGCGACATACCTTCATTCCCAGCGTGTTTTGCATTTGCGTGTTCATGTTGCGTTCCACGCTGCATCGCGGCGCCGCGGACGCGCGCGGACTCGCGCGTGCAAGCGCGTGGCGAGAGGCCGTTTCACGTCGTCGGGTGTCTCGGTCGGGGAGTGCAAGCTCTTCTCCACGCTGCATGCCTTGAAGCTCATGAAGGATCGGGTGGTTTGGTTTGATCGGGAGGGGCGGGGGGGGAGGGGGGGGGGGGGGAAATCGTGTTTTTTGGTGGACACTTATTAGGGGGAAGGGATTAAGAAGGAGCTTTGCAACCATCATACCCGGACATTTCCCCTGGTATCTTTTAAGGAGGTACTGAACGACCCCTTTTTACCCCCCAAAAGCCATCCTCAGGAGGTACCAAGGGACCCTCTGCGGTGTGGTTTGGTTTGATGGGAGGGAGAAAAAGGGGAGCTGAGTTTATTTGTACTTGCTGGTTTTCAGCAGGGTTTGAGGCCAATGACCCCAAGAAAAACCATCCTCTATGGTGTCCTTTATGGGAATCCACAGGTTCATTCCCCAAAACCCCAGACACTTTACCCTCTAGGGGGGTCAAATCCCCGCCCAGTCATGATGCTTCCTGGCCCCTACTAGTCTAGCTTCCCTCCAACCGAAATGGGTGGCAGTTGGGTTTTGATATGGGTCTGTCTCAAATAGGGGGACCAATTTTTCGGAAGTTGTAGGGAAACCAACAGGAAACCCTAAACCATCTCGAGGGGTCCCTAGTTTTGAGGGGTCCCACCTCTATTCCCATTTTTGTTCTGCTCTGGGGTGGTTTATTTTTGAGGCTCGGTTGCTCAGTATAAAGGGAATCCCAAGAATCTTGATATGTTTTTTGCTTTTTTGTTTTCCTACCCCCCCCCCCGCCCCGTTTGGGTATTTCAAGGGAACAACGAAAGGACATGAAAGGGCTGTTTAGGGGTACTCCAATTTCAGGACAACCATATGCATTCCCTTTTCTTCTATTTGTAGCTATGGTTTGCCATTTTGATGTTTGCATTGCTTGCCGTTGTTTGTCTTGCCTTTTTTGCCAGCTGAAACATCATACCCCATTGGCAATTTGTGACCGTATGCCCAGTTAAGGCTGATGTGAAATGGGGCATAGGAGCTCTGTTTGGGTTTTCGCCCCTAGACCCGCCCTTTTGGCGTGTCCATTTCCGAAAGGATGAGAGTTTTAATAAGGGACCCTCTAGAGGACATCATAATTCTGTGGGGATTCATATTCTCCAAGCAATTGAATTTGGTGGAGCCCTAAAGCAGTTCACTTGATCAGTCTCTGTATGCATGGCCCCCATTGGAAACCCAAAGGAGGCTTGTGGAATCAACGCATGCATCAACCGATATGGGTTTGTCTCAATATAAAGGTCCTGCAAAATGTGGGGTCTCCTTTAGGCTGTCCTTTAAAGCGCAGGCGTGTTTTGTTTCTCCTTTATTTAGAGCATGCGTGTAGGTTTAATGGATTCCGGAGGTTCATGAGCCAGGGACCATTATCAGAGGGTCACTTGGTACCTCCTGAGGATGGCGTTTGGGAGGTAAAAAGGGCGGTAAAAAGGGCTCGTTCAGTACCTCCTTAGAAGATACCAGGGGACCCTCTGCGATTCTCAGGTTCCCCTTCTTCGGTGGTTTGGATTGGGGAAAGGGCATTTGAACCCCTCTGTAGCCGGAAGAAAACCCACCCCCCGAGCCTCCAAACAACCAAGACTCACTTTCCGAGTTCCTGGACTCCCGCACTTTTGTTTGGGAGACCAGTTTGGCGGGCAAATGCAAATCAAACGTTCCCGAGTTCTTGGACTTGAGTCACTTGTATGGGGGAGACCAAGTTCCCGAGTTCTTGGACTTGAGTCACTTGTATGGGGGAGACCAAGTTCCCGAGTTCTTGGACTTGAGTCACTTGTATGGGGGCGGAGGCAAATCAAAAGTTCCCGAGGTCTTGGACTTGAGTCACTTGTATGGGAGAGACCAAGTTCCCGAGTTCTTGGACTTGAGTCACTTGTATGGGGGCGGAGGCAAATCAAAAGTTCCCGAGGTCTTGGACTTGAGTCACTTGTATGGGAGAGACCAAGTTCCCGAGTTCTTGGACTTGAGTCACTTGTATGGGGGCGGAGGCAAATCAAAAGTTCCCGAGGTCTTGGACTTGAGTCACTTGTATGGGAGAGACAAGTTCCCGAGTTCTTGGACTTGAGTCACTTGTATGGGGCGGAGGCAAATCAAAAGTTCCCGAGGTCTTGGACTTGAGTCACTTGTATGGGAGACACCAAGTTCCCGAGTTCTTGGACTTGAGTCACTTGTAATGTTGACAGTGTATTAGTAATCCCCCCCCTATTAATCCGGTCCGGGTGGACCCCCCCAATACTAAACAATTCATATCTCAGAAAAACCCCCCTCAATAAAAAATAATCCAAAACAACCCCCCCCAATTAGCCCGGTCCCTGCCCCAGATGGCCGCTGCTATCTCATTTTCTCCACTGCTTCTTGAGCTCATTTCTTAGAAATGGCTGAACATGTCATCCATATTGACAACTCACATTCATAGCATGTACTCTGCACATATGCTTCTTCCTAATCTCTTGCCTTCCCTCCTCATCCAATAGGCTGTGCACTTCTCAATGCTGCATGATAAGCAGCCTGATTGGAACCTGCATCTACTGCACACTCCCACCTCATAGTGTTGGAGTTTCTCAATGGCCTTGTGATACTCTGCAGGCAAATCTGAAATCTGCAGCTTGGAATTCTCATTCACAATGGCCATGGCCTCAATCTGCAATGAAGTCAATGCCTCACCCTTCTTCATTTTGTTGCATGCCAGATCATAAGTCTTCTTTCTTTCCTGCATGACCTTCTGGCCATACTTCTCCAATAGAGCAATGCCATTGGTAACCTCTTTCTTCTTCATGTCTATCTCCTTCTGCAACTGGGGCATGAATTTCTGCATCCTGGCATGCCAAGCTTGCATGGCCTCTTCAGGCCACCCAATGGCAGCAGGGCCATGTCCAGTCAACATGGCAACCTCCATTTCCAAGTAGGTCATGATATACCATCCACACAGATTGGAGCCAATTGGCTGCCTGATGCTGGCATTGGTTCTATCCAATGGAGGCCTCATCAAAAAGTCCTCATCCACGATTTCGTTGTTCAAAAGCCATGCCAAAATGGCATGTGCCTTGTGCAAGCATGGCTCACTCATAGTTGTCAGTGTCTCATAATATCTGATCTGCTCCTGCTTGGATATGCCTGGTCTCAAATCCACTACCAGGAGCACAATATGGTGACCAGCAGCAAATGGCATGAGAAAGCATTTGGCCTCAGGGTTGTCAAAAAAGTCAAACAAACAATGGTCAACAAATGCAACCCTGCTGTGCCTTGCCCTTCATCTTCTTCAGCACATATGAACTGATGCCCTCTTGGTTCATGTATTGAGCATCCTCAGATAGAATGCCATGCAGCGCAGTTGGATGGATGAACTCCACATCCTGGATGTCTTCCATTGTCTTTTTTGTAGCCATCCATCTAATGAGACCATAAGCAATGACCACAGTCTCAATGTCCACATCTGAATGGTCTTTCCTCAGATCAGCCAATGAAAAAACATGCTCAGCACAGACCGGACTAATAAGGGGGGGGGGGTAAACAAATGGGTCCAAAAATGCTAACTAATATTAGCACAAAAGCTTGATGACTTCCAGCTCACCCCATGAGTCCAGCAATGCAGGGTCTTCAAATATGATCCCTGCATCTAGCAGGATATCATGCTTGTGCCATCTCTGCAATGTCAGCTGGTGCCATTTCCATTGCTTCTTATCCCCTCCCACTGGCTCCAGGTAGCTCCTATCCACCCATGCAGTCCTACTCTTTTTATGAAGCCCATCAGCTTCAAGGAGCACATGCAATGCTTTCTCTGATGCCCCCATGGCAGTGCCTTGCCTACCAAACAATGAAGGGCCAGCATGCTCACTCACCACTCTCAGCTTGGAAGAAGGAATGTCCAACTCATGCTCTTCCAATGGCGCTGGGGGGGATGATGGTGGTGGCAATGGGGGCTCATCAGGCAATGGCTTTGCTTTGGCTGGATGTGAAGCTAATGCCTTGGGCTGCTGCTGCTTATCCTCAATCTTCTCTTTGGCTTTGGTGGCAGCAATCTTTCTGATTCTGTCTTTGAGCTGATTTTTCTTCATCTTCTTTGCAAGCTTTGTCTTCTTCGCAGTGATCTTCTTTTTTTTGGTGGATGCTGATGGCACTTGGGCAATCATTTGCTCATGCCTGCTGTCAGTCATCAAAGCCTTCTTGATATCTTCCTTCTCATCAGCTTCTAATGTCTTTGCTTGCTTTCTCTCCTCTTTTCTCTTTGCCTTCTTTGCTTTCATCTTTTCTTTTTGTTTTCTGGCCTCATCACTCATCTGCATGTCCTTCAACATGGCCTTTCTTCTCAAATCCAATGGCAGCTGAAACTCACCAGCCTGCACCCATTCTGGCATGTCCTCATCCTCAAGAACTGGCATGTCAGCATGTGATGGTGTTGGCTGTGCATAATCCCATTCTATGAGATCACTCAGCTCCTTGGCTCCATCTATCCTCTCCCAATTGGGCTCATTGATTGTGCAGCCTTCATCAAGAACATGCGCCAATCTATTGTCCAGCCATGTTTTGCTGATCCTCTTGGATCCCAATGGCTTGTCTTTGGCCCAATCTTCTTCACCACACCATCTCATCTTACCTGTGGCATCAGGTCTGAGTGCAAGGAATCCATTGCGCCTGAGGCCAGCCAAAACCCATGCTTTCTCCTCATTGGCCTCCACCATTTGCTGCATAGCAGCATCTACAGCAAAAGCTATGTCCAGGTTGCTGATCTTGGGCAATTCTGTGGAATTTCTCTGCATGTCCTCCACCTTCCTATCAATGTGTAATTTCATTGCTGCCTTGAACTGATGGCTGAAATCTGTATCTGTCAGCTGCATGGCACTGGTCATCTTTGGCTGTATTGTTGATTGTGCTTGATGAGATAAATATCTCATCTTTGTGGTGCTATCACTGAATGCTGCCCCATATGCATCACGTTGGTAGAGTGACACTGGCATCTCATGTGCACTGTCTTGAATGTTCCATGCCATGCAGATGCTGTCCATGTTGCACGATGGTTGTGACATAACTGTGAAATGTCGAAA